ATGCAAGAGAAAAAAAATGCTTTAGAAAATGTGAGAGAGACTTGCTCTCCTCCCCTCATTCCTCCATTTAAACATAAGAGTACAGAAATTAGAGTTGTTTTGCATGGAGCTAGAGGGTATTATGCTCAGTGACATAATCCAGGAGGAGAAAGACAAGTACCAAATGATTTCCCTCATTTGTGGAGTATAACAACGAAGCAAAACTGAAGGAACAAAACAGCAGGAGACTCACAGACTTTTTGTGAGGGGTGGGATTTGAAGAGAATGACTGCCTGAGAAAAATAAAACACAGAATGAAATGCTGTAGCAAATGAGTCCAAGAAAATTTAAAAGTACCTATAATCTTACCATCCAGAGATAGCTGTTATTTCCTATTCCTTAGACTTTTTTCTATGAGTTTGTGTATTTAAAGAAAAAAATCCTGCAGGACATATTGTTATGTGACCAATTTTTTCAATCGATTGATTGTAGCTCTCTTTGTACACCACGTAAAATGGTTCCATAGAAGTCCATGTTAAGAATGTATTATAATTTAATTTAGTGTTGAACATGTAACTTTTTTTTTTACTATTTAAACTATGTTGTGATGGACACTCTGTGGCTTGGTCTTTCGGCAGACCTGTATTTCTTTCAGAAAAAGTCCTTCAAGTAGAATTGCTGGGTGAAAGGTTTTAAGCAAATTTGGTTTGTGTTGCCAAACTGCCCTCAGAAATATTATACCAATTAACATGCCTAACAGTAGTTTTTGAGTTCCCCTCATCACAAGAACACTGGTGCTGTCTTTCAATATTTACCAATTGAATAACCAAGACATTTCATACCAGTATTTTAATTTGAATTTCTGTTTAATTTTAGCATTTTAATGTTTATTGGCCATTTGGTTTATAAGAGTTGGACATGTAATGACTGTAATTTTTCTTAAAAGCCATTTATTCTGCAAATACTTCCTTCATTTTGTCATTTGCTATTTAATTTTGTAATATTCTTGAAGTATGACAAAATTTTAGTTAATAAGATGAATTAATTTTTACATGATTGTATCTTCCTATGGCATCATGTTTGGGAAATCCTCTGTTCAAGCTTATATAAATATTAATTTAAAATTTTTAGTATTTTATTAGTTGTTTTTACTTATACCCTTGAAACATCTGGGATCAACTGCCACATCTAGAGTAAGATAGGAGGGTCTAACTTTATTATTTTTTTATAACATCCTGTCATTGCCTGACCCAAGAATATGAGATTCATGTCTATTTTTCTTCTAACAGTTTTATAGTTTTAGCTTTTACATTTAGATCAATGATCTATTTTGAGTTAATTTTTGTATATATGTAAACTCATTTTTTCCAGTTTTCCTCAATTTATTGAATAATTTATCTTTCCCACCAATTAAAATGGCATGGCATCTGTGGTACCAGCAGCTGATTGTGTCCAGTATCTATTCTGCTTCTTCTGATAGTAATAGAATAAAAGTTTCCAGTAGGTAAATACTCACCCAGCAGAGACTATATTTTTTAGTCTCCTTTGCTGCTAGGTGTAGGTAGCCATCTGACTAAATTTTAGCCAGTGGAATGCAGGCAGAAGTAATATATGCAACCCCAAGATCGTACTTTTCTAAAGAAATGGGTTCCCCTCCACTAACTTTCCCCCCACTTACCATAGGCTTAAATATAGATTCAGGCTGGTGAGCCAGCTTTGATGGTGGACATGGATATGTCCTAGGGGGGCAGCAGAACAATAAAACAGATACAGCTGGGTTTCTGGATGGCCTTGTGGAGCAGAGGTACCTACTGTCATCCTGAACTACCCACCCACTTCTGGGCTATTATGAGTTAGAGAAGACATTTGTATTTCATTTGAGCCTCTTTTGTATGTGGGCCTCTTTGTTATTATAATATTTTTAATAAATGCTACATGTTTATACAGGCACATTTTCCCTTAAATTTCCATTCTACTTTATCGATCTGTTTACGCTTATACCAAAACGACAACTCTAATTTCTGTACTCTTATGTTTAAATGGAGGAATGAGGGGAGGGGAGCAAGTCTCTCTCACATTTTCTAAAGCATTTTTTTTCTCTTGCATTCAGTCTTTCAAGTGAATTCAGACTAAATTTGTCAACTTCCACCACCTTCTCCTTCCCACCTCCAAAGTCACTGATTTTTTTTCCAATCAAAAGTCATTTCTTGGTCTTTGAGAGTTTGTTCATTCTCTAAAGGTTTATGTTATGCAAGCTTAGGCAAAATCAAGGTGCATTTCATATTGTCTCTTAACAATATGTTCAGCAGCAAGTGTCCAGGAATGTGACATTTAAAATGTGCCCATTCCATCATGACTAGGGAGCCAGTCCCACAAGGACAAAATAAGGGAGAGACTTAGCTGTGGTTATCGCCCCACACCAATAATGCCGACACTATGGAGGTGGGTAGGACACACATACTTGAATGCATGACAAACCATAGAAACAAACAAAATCTTAAGCGTCAAAACTGCCCACAGCTATAGGTTTGCGTTACAGGGAGTGTTGGTGAGAGAGACATGTGGAGGAAGGCGGAAGTGCTTCAGCCAGAAAACTATTTCTCCTGAGGACAGTACAATGTTACAGTATTCCTTGGAAGAGGTGGATGGGTTAATATGGTGGTTGTGGCATCCCTTCGGATCTTCCCTGTTCAGTTGTTAGAAATATATCACTTCTGGAGGATGCTTGATTCAGTGAGTAAGTGCCTTCTAAAGTAATGTGTTCTCTGTATCTGTCCATTGCTAGACTACAGCAGAAAGTAGTTTCTCCACCAGAATATGCAATCAGTTCACCACTTCATTGAACCAATTTAGGATGCTCCATTTCCTTTGTAAAATTGATTTTTGCTCCAGATTCATGTCAAGGGCCCTCCAGTTTTTGAATCTGTTATGACGTCACAGTGGGGCGGGCATATGCACAACTGGAAGTCAACAGAGCTAGTTTCTGACCAGCTCATCCACTCAACGTGCTTGAATCAGCTTCATTTTTAGAAAGGACTTGAAAGGATTTATCTAAAGTAGCTTAAAAGTAGTCTCAAGTTTAGGTTTAAAATGTCCTTCAATTTCTCAGCATTAACAGAGAAAAATGGTGAAAAATAAAAAACAACCCATACAATTAAAAAGGTCCTTAAGTATCAAGTCTGGAATATCAGTGTGTGTGAAGCACAGCATACTTCAGACCATCTCACTGGGGCTCCATTTCTAGATTGTTCCTGGGCTTTACACCATGGCTCCTTTGTATTCTTTACATACACACATATGTATATGTGTGTGTATTTTTTTTTAGGGGGATGATCAATTTAATGCTTTTACAAGGTACATAAGAGTTGATTTGTATAAATTCAATGTGTTGCTCTGAATCTTTAGTTATCAAATTCTCATGGAGTACACACCCCCACCAAGCATGTCTTTTGTGGCTCTATTAACACAATTTCCTGCTGTTTTTGAAGGGTTGAGCAGGGACTTTGGCTCACCCGTGTCCTGGCCCCAGAACAGTACCAGGCACATCCCAAGTGTTCAGCAAACACTTGTTGAATGAGTGAGTAGGGTACACATGAACCCAAACTCATCTGTTATTCTCCGAATTGTTCCTCCCCAGTGGCCTTACCTTAGTGAGTGTGAACACCACCACATGGCTCTCCAGCCAGGGACCTGGGTGCCAGTTCCAACCCTGCCCGCCTCCTCCTGGGCTACACTCCCCTCCTCCCCAGGCTAGTTGGTCACCGCATCCTGTTGCTTCTTTCTTATGCTCAAACATTTGGAATTTTGGCCTCTCTGTCCATCCCTGTCTATGCCAACGGCTCCTTCATGAGACTTCTTGCTTTAGGTCTGTCCCTGTCCAGGGGACGTTCCACCCTTGAGCCAGACCATCAGTGTGTCATGTGAACCTGATGCAGGTCTCACACTCAGAATGCCTCAGGGGTTCCCACGCCTTCCCCGTGTCCTGATGGTATAAGGCTGGGTGGCTGTGGTCGGTGGCACGATGACCTCCCTGCCACAGCTCTCTGCGCTCTGTCCTTACATCCCAACCTTGGCCACCCTAAGTCAGCCTGGCATCTCCCTATGGTGGATGTTCAGGAAATGGCTGAACTGGACACAGGGTGTGGCTGGGAAGTCAGTAAGGCTGGGGGATAGGTCTGCCACAGGTGTGTGAGCTCTCATCCTATGAGATTGCGCAATCCCAGTGCAATGAGACCTGAGGTGAGGTCCCCTCGCATGGGTTTAGAAAGCCCTTTAGCATGGCCAGCCAAGCACACACACTCACCCTCATGTGGGAGCAAGAGCATCCCAGAGCCTTGGGCCAAATAATGTGACAGGGGCCCCCTCATAAACGATTTCACGGGACAAAGGGCCACACGAAGGTCAAGGGGCATCATGACAGGAGTGCCAGGCTGATGCCACGTTCCCAGTTTCCATGAGGCATGGGTACGGGAAAAGCTTCTGGCTGGCTGTAGTTCAGAGTTACCTTCCTTCTGGCAAGCCAGCTCCTTTCTTGGGCAGCAGTTCCGCCCACACCCCTGGCAGCTAGGGCACAGCTCTGGGTCCTCCAAAACAGGGGCCATGGAGCCAGGCCCTGGACAGAGCCCTGACAGAATAGGCAGACAAGCCTGGGGTGCTCGAGGCTGGGAACGCCTGTTGGAGACAGAGGGGCAGGTACCCAGGGAGGAGTAGCATCCTCCTGTGTTCAGAAGAGAGAATAAAGCAATTACGTTTTAACAGCCACTCTGCATTAAAGAAGATTGATTATTTGTCCTTCTGATGTGTTGTTTCCATAGAAGCAGGGCTTAACCTTTTAAGTGAAGATTATAAAGCTATCTAATTCATTTAAAATTAGGCTTTAAGCATATCAGTACTCAATGCTCTAGTGTTGCTGTGGGACTTGCATTAGCCATTGATCTGACTGCCTGGGCAGAGACTGTGACTTTCAACATTTGAAGACACTTTATGGTGGCAATCTAGTTTGTTTATTTTTAAAAATTAAATTCATAAGAAGATACAACTTTCTGTGTAAGATCATCAGAGTATTATCAATAAATACCTTTTAATTAATGACTAGCATTGACTCCTCTTCATAAACACAGGAGGACTGGCACACAGGCACAAAACAGGCATGTTCAATTAAAGTAATTTATTGTATTCCTCCGGAATAGACATAAAGAGCATCTTGGGAATTGATATCACAACACAATGTTATACACCATTTTAACAACTAGTCTTGAGTTGAAATATTTTTTTAAGACCATAATAATTTTTAAAAATCTAAATATTTACATATTAATAAAACATATATACAGAAGATTGTGACATTATCCATAGGGAATAATTTTTTTGCTAAGAAAGCCTATAAAAAGGATTTCTGAATAAAGTCTGAACAGTAGTCACAGTAAGTAAACACAAATACAATTTTAACTTACAAAATATGATTTTACTGTTGCAGTTTTTTGATATGCATTTCCAATTTGTGGATCCATTGTACATATCGCACATATCTGTGAGTCAAACAATCCCCCCATCCCCTCAAGTACTGAAAGATCCAAGCTGTTGCCCAGTCTTGGAAGGAAGTGCTTTTGAAGGTTCCTGGTACATTGTTAACAGCATTGCTAACAGGTCCCACCATTGTAAGGTAAATGTTTCTACCCTTATTAGCAACATATTCATCCTACTGTAATAGAGTTGAAAGGTCACTAACGCATCTTGGCAATTTCCTTGAGAAATATTTCCTTCCTAGGGGCAGAAGGCAAACTTTAAAACATATGTTGCAGAAAAACAAAAGCCCTGGTTCATAAAACTTCATCAGATCACTTAATGAAGAGAACTCGTTTCAGGGAGGGGATGACTAACTGGCCAAAGTGTAAATGGCTAATAACTAAAGGAAGTGATGAAACAATTTCTCTGAACCTTCCTTGCAGCTTCAAAAAGAAGACAAATAAATAAGCTTCAATAAGAAGACACACATGTATGAGATGTAGCTGTCTAGCAGTTAGATTGATTCCATGAGCCACACTCAGAACCAGAGTCATCACATTTCAGGGATGCCTCTTACCACCTTCAGTTGATCAGCTGGTCTTCAGTGGAATACTGGTCCATCCCGGAGCCCTCTCAAGCTCAGGCTTAGCTTCTCAGTGTGATATGGCCCAAGTACCTTGGACAGGGCACCTCTACACTAACTTTGTGCTCTAACACTCTGACTTAAAAAAACAAGTGCTGGGAATGGAGTGTAACAGTCACCACAGCAGTTTCCCCCTGGGATTTGGTGTTTCCACAGTTCAAATTTCTTTCAAGCCACTTTTTGGCCTTTGGGTCAAGTGCCAATTTGCTCTATACAATAAATGAGGTATAAATGCAATGTTTCTAAATAAAATTATATTTTAAATTCATCATCTTATTAGAGAAAGGAGTCCACAGGTAAATATTTCTGTAAAACAAATACCCACATGGCAAGATAGCTCTTTAAAATAAATGCGTATTTTTTTATGTTGGTCTTACATGAAGTGGAAGGTAAGTGTACTAGGTACCAATAAAATATACAATATTAATTAAGTACAGTTGTGCCTGGGGTGCGACACAATGCCAAAACACTGGACCAGTCAGTTAAAAACATCTGTTAAAATAGTTGTAAGGTATCATGTAGATAACTGGTTAGTTTGAATTTCTCACCTTTTAATTAGTTATTTTGTCACTGTGTTGACACTGTGTTTTTTTCCCCTAAGAATTCATATATCATTTGCACTTATTCAGTTACAAATGGTTAATTTTCAGGGAACTGGTGTCACATATAATTGCATCTAATAGATCAGACCTATCGTATCGCCTCAAACAACTTTTTCATCTTCTGATCTGATGAAAGTCTAATTAATCTTGGGCTTCATAACTGCTTCCTCAGCCCTGAAAGAGCCATTCTCCTTTTTACCACATCTAAGCAAAAGACATTAAAATAAATATGCTTCAAAACTCTACATATTCACACTGAACTTATGAAAAAAACAGGGAAGAGAGAACAACTTTTTAATGAACAATGAACTAACTGGATCATATGCTGCACTTTTAAAGGGTAATAAATCTAAATATGATTTTTAAAAATCTTTACCAATTTGGAGGCTTGACTATCACATATTATAAAGAAAGTATATGAAAAATATGCGAATATGACAGGTAAACTCACAGAACACCCACACTTTGCAGTAACCTGAAATGCTACGTGCATCTTTGAGGAAATTCAAACGGAAGAGTTACATATGCTAACGAGCAATGTCACTGAATAAAAGTCTAAGCAGTGAAATCTGGCTCTGTGTCTTCTGTGTTTTCTCTCCTGGTGTCAAATATATTACCTACAAGAAAGACAAGAAAATGAAGAGGGACCACTCCAAACAGGAGTTGTATACTTTTCTATGACATGGCTAGAGGCATCTGTGGTATATATTATATGGTATATAGTCTATCACATATTCTGAATAAATGAAAAACCTTGTTGGTGAGGTGTCTACTTCATATCTAAATCATTAATTTTTCAGCCAAGGCTTTAGTTGTGCTGAATAAGCAATTCAGCCATTAGAAATCTGTCATTTTTATAGGAAAGCCCAGCACTATGTGTTACTATTGGAGTATGTTCATATATTGCTCAGTAACAGAAAGTGGTTAAGTAAAATATGATTTACCTGTAAAATAGAACACCATGCGGATATTAAAGTAATGCATATGAAGATTTGTAATAAATGGAAAATGCTTGCTAGGTTAAGAAAAACCTCAGGAAACAAAATTTTATGTATTTCATCTCTATTGTGTAAATAAATAGAAGAAATAAAGAGAATAGTCTGAAGAAAAACACCCAAAAAAGATTGTCTCTGAGTGGCTAATTTACATTTTCTTCCTCATACTTAAATAAATAAATAAATGTATGTATGTGTATGTATGTATGTTTGTAAAAGAACGCCAATTCATGATGAAAATCGCTCAGCTCAGATGGTCTGCACTACTTATCTCAAATTCAGAAGCCTCCGTTGTAGATTTTAGAACTAGAAAGCAGCAGTGTTTCCATTTTACTTTCTCTATTATTTTCCTTTTTACCAACACAAACTGTTCTCAAGCCCTGGGGGCTTCTCCTGGTCAGGGGCGTGCTCTCCGTGCCTGCCCCACAGCCTCTGGCTCTCACCCAGCTCTGGGGGTGCTCTGAGTTGGGTGTTCGTTCACCAGAACCTCACGTGGTGCTGCTTCCTGGGAGAGGCTCAAAAACCCTTACTGACAGGGTTGAGGGAAAGAAATTAAGAAAATATGTTTTCTACTATAAAATCTGTGTCCATTCTTCTTAAACCCAGACAAACTGAAGGTTGGTTAAAGGTAATGGATTGAAACAAATGTCCCTGGACTGCCCGACTGTAACCCTGACCTGGTCAATTCTGGCTCACAGAAATTTAGGATTTTATGCTCCTCTTCCACCCCTTCCCAACACACATGAATTTGGAAGGAGGAAAAAGACCTAAAAAGGTAATAAAGGCATTGTTAAATCTTTACAAAGGACCAGCTCAGATAACCAAAATAAGGGCCAGTGAGTCTCAAATCCAAGGATGAAGCTACATGTGCAGCAAAGGTGGAATTCACCTCGAGGATTGTCCCATTGGACAGGGCGTACGTTGGTCATAAGGAGGGAGGAATCAGTAGTAGTGTTGTGTTTAAAGAGACTGCCCAAACCAGTGGTTTTACTTCAGAGGCAATCAAGACACGCTACTCTAATCAAGACCATTTAATTTCAAAACCACAAAGTTTCAGCACCAATCTGAGATTTCTTTTCCCCTTTTCTAATTGGTAAATGGTATCGTTTATCACACTGTTTAGTAATTTCTATCAAACCTCTATCAATATTCTAGTGAAAAAACCTGTAGGTGTGTTCTACTACTGTCTTCATGACCGACCTCACAGACTTTGGCAAGATTTATTTGAGAAAGAAGTCTAAGAAAGGAGTTTCAGCTTGCAGTGGACTTCAGGTAGTTTTACAACAGACATTCTAATTGTGAAAACAGACATTGACATGGAATCCTAAAGGGATTAGTGCATCCATCAACTCTTAGGATCTTTGAGAAACATGCAGAAAAAAGCTGGCTTTGGCTTAGGTATAAGAAAGCGATGCGGTGTATTGGCTGAAGTAGAGAGGCCTGGGCTCCGGCCAGGCCACCAACCAGCTGTGAGGCCTTGAGAAAGTCATTTAGTGTTTCTGGGCCTCAGGCTTTTTTACCTGTAAAATAAAAGGTCTGGATAAAATGAAAGGATAGGACCAGATGATCTCTAACGTTCCTTCTTTCTCAAACTCTTTTCAGTTTCATGAGGTTGTTCTGCCATCCCATGTTTAATTTTCTTGTCTAAAACATCTCTCTGCCTCCATCTTCAGATAGGAAAATGCAAAGGTATTATTTCAAGGGGAACGGTTTTCAAATAATATTAACAATAAAAAGCCCACTGTGTCATATGCCAGCGAGGATGGGCAGCACAAATGCCCTGGGGCAACAAGGCTTCAGGGGTAGGAAGCCTGAAAAGTGCACAGAACAGCAAGTATTCCCCCAAAGGGCCTCCTGAGATGCACTATTCCACGAGTAGTAGTAGTACTTCATGCATCTCCTGTGAATGGGCCGGGTGATGAGAACAAGGCTGAGGAGAGCTGTTCTGATATTCATGGAGACACAATGGGAAGGTACAATAGAGATCTTGCATTTCAATTATCTTAATTCATAAATATGCAAACACAGCCAAACAAAAAGAGAACTCCCTTTTATATAATGACTATGTATGGTAAGAACTTGATATCAACAGGCCCTTTTGGCACCATGTGGCTCATTTCATTTATGCATCCATTGATGTGTTGCTTAGCTACTCAGTGATGGAAACAGCACTGTGCCATTCACAGGGCTGTGGCTGTGCTTTCTCATTGCTCTGAAGTTCGTTAACATATGTCTACCCTAACCTGTGAGGTCTGCTTTTGTTGCCACTCAGGATAAGGGCTATCAATGACCACATGACCTAGTAGAGTTCCTACACAGACTAGCTACTCCATTAATATTTGCTGAATTTTATTTAAAACTGACCACCCCAAATCTGGAGTTTTTCACTTGGAGCTTTTTCACTTGGAGGTTTTTGGGGTGTGTCAGTTTTGTGAGCAGAGAACCTTCAGGTATTCATTCTTCTGAGGGCAGTCAGTAAGGAGTTTTGAGACCAACTGAGGGAATAAATTGTTTGTCACATGGCCTGTAATCAGACACCTGGCCCCTTGGGCTCTCAGGTTGGAATAGATGCAGAGGCTGGAGGCCAGGGTCAGAAGTATGACTTGAGTCAAATAATGTGAAGTCAGAATTACGTCTATGGCTTAACATTGCAGCAGATTCTTCCCTGAACTGTTGTATTAGGCTGATCTGGTTATATATTAGGAATGTGCCACCCACACTGATTGATTGGTTCATTCAACCCCTCACTTAAAATACAGTATTCAGTGGGGGCCCATTCTCTGAGGAGCAACAGCTGAGGCTTCTCAGAGCCCTTTGTGGGGAAGTAGGAGAGGATGGATGGATGTGAATTTCATCATAAAACTGGTGATCCCTGTTCTAAAAAGAAATGTCATTTCATGTTAAAATACTTTTTAATGTCCAAAGGTTTTGAGAGGCAAAATGTGACACTAAGTTCTTAGGACTTGCTATTCTAAGGTTTTTAAGAATGAAACAGTATGTGAGAAAAATGTAGCTTCTACTATTCAATGTGAAAATACCTCTGAACACAGGGCACTGAGAGCCTCCGATGACTAGGGCCTGGCTCTGTGGCGGTGGCAGCTAGCCCTAGTATCTGTATATCTGATGTTAAGAACATTTTCAATGCAAACATTTTCATGTGCTACATTTTCCAGTGGGTGATGAAAACGCAAATGTGTGTTACCTGTTGGTGGCAGGGAAACGCTGTCCAGTCTTTCATCGCCATCAGCTGCCTCTGCTGGTTACAAACATAAAACGCAAATCTCATTAGTTTCAGGGAGCACATTCATTTTACTGGACACAGTAACACAATTTGAAAATTCCAGTACACATAAATTTCACCTTTCTTTTCCCCTTTCAGCTTCAGTCCGTTCACATTACAGATTTGTGCCATTATTTCAATTTTTTTGGTGATGATATAAAATCAATTTTCCTGTATCAAAAATTTTTATATCTTATGAAACTTACTCTATCAATTATTGATGATTTAAGTTCATTTTCATTTATTTACATAGGTTTAAGTAGCCCCTCTGGAATCTGGAATGAATTCTTTAAATATGATCACTGAAGGCATGGAGGACAGTGAATTCCTATGGAAGGATTTTGCTTGTCATCTCGGAAGCATTGCTGTGGGGTAGGCTTAGAAAATCTTGAGAACGAACCTTTCTTTGGAGGTGACTAATTCATTCCTGAAGAAAATCAGAAGGAATAAGTGTTTCCTCAAAGGATTTGTCACTTGCTATGTTTTAAAATGCAAGCCTTTGCTTATCTCTGATATGCTTTAATCTCCTTGAGAGTTTTCGAAGGTAGATCCTTCAGTCACAGAAAAACTGCTAATTACAAAAAAGAAGGTGCTCATATGTCTCCTGATGACTTATGGACTTGTCATTCTCCCCAGCATGCTGTGGACAGGTCAGAACATTTCATTACGGCCATGCGGATCATTTCAGCTGTTCTCCCTATGTCCCATGGCTAGTGGCCCCATTGGAAGTTTCTTGCTTGCAGCCACCCTCCTGCTTCGTGCACACAAGCACGGGAGGCCAAACGAGGGCTGCCGATTGCATCACGTTATAATGCTGAATTGGTGGGAAGCAGAGCTAGTACTATGTTCTTGTTTTTATTGCTGTTGCTTTAAACAGGATCAGTGTTAAGATACGGAAGGAGATGTTCAAAGCTTTCCACTCTAGTTCACCCTCTACCATCTTGTCCTGGCATCAGTGAAAGACCCCTTGTCTGCTGACCTGCTGTGTCTGCCACAAAGAGAGAACACTAAGAAAGGATATAATAGCCAAGACCAATTTTGGCTGGGGAAGAGTGAGAAGCCACAAAAAAATGACATAGTAGGTGAATATTTAATGACACAAAAACAAGTCAAGCAGTAGGATAAATGGGAGGATGGAAATTTTGTAAATAAGTTTACAAGTGAAATAAAGGACATACTACAATGCTGAGGGTTCTCTGGCTTTTAGGCATTTAGAATTTGTTCTTTGAGTTTTAAAAATTCTAGAATATAAAAAATAACGAATGTAAGTTATTTTTATACTTATAAGACATTATGCTAATTGGTTTGAGTGAATCTGAATATGTATATGAACTACATGTGGTAGTTTTAAATATCCTTCAGTATTACAATGATAGCAATGAATGCCGCCACCATTTATTAAATGCTTACCATTTACTCAACACTACATACATTGTGTCGTTCAACTCTTAGAAAACCTTTCAAGGTAGGTCTGTTATTTGCTCATTTTAACAAACAAGGAAACTAAGCAACTAAGTTTGTACAGCTCCTGAGTGACTCTGCCAAGGACCCGAGTCAGGTTCACACCTGGGCCCTTCATCGCTTTGTGTAGTCCACACATATATTACTTGCATCAGTATGAGCTAATTTAAAAAGTTTCAAGTGTTGAGCTCATTTTACTTTAGTAACTTTCCCTACTTTATATGTATAATTGCTTTTCATTTAGTTGTAGCAAAAATCCGTCCTGGGTTCGAATTGCTTTTCCCTTTGTAATTTAGCTATCCTCACTTATTAAAAATAGGCCTATGCAATTACATGCTTTACTGAGAATGGAACATATACAACCAAAAAAGATATATGTTATTATATGTAAATTAATATATTCTAGCTGCATGAACAGGGCCAAGTGCCATGGAGGAAGAACATGACCATGCTACTTAAATTTAATTATAACATCTGCCTGCAATGAGAAGCTCACGATCTTTCTTCCCTGGTGACACAGTCAGGTTGTGAAATTTGGAAAAGATTGAGCAAGTCCAATAAAAATTTAATAGCAGTGACAGTTTCACTCTTAGATCTAACACAAATAAAAAATTGTGATTTCAGTTCTGTGGAAATAATCTAATGAAAATGATAAAAATCCACACTAGGAAAGGAATCATTCCAGTTAATAGAAAAAAAAATTATCACATGTGATGAGAGCCCCAAATGAATTTCTATTTCGATTCGCATAGCAACCTTTTGGCTCTGTGTGGGGCTCATCCTCCTCCTAGGGGTGGTGCGGGCTTCCCTCAGTGGTGAGGTGATCGGCCTGTCCAGTTAGAGTCTGTACCTAATTCCAGGAATTGAGCTAAATATGATAAATAAGGTTGAAGTTGTGGAATATCCATGAGACACTGAATTATCATTTGGACCAAAAATAATCAGGACAAGGAGCATGAGAGCAAGCAGTATTATTGATCCAGGCCTCTCAGTTCCTGTCAGCATCACCAAGGAAATGCAAGATGATCTTTTTTTCAGTTTGCTGGGGTCCCACTTTTGTGCTGCTTGAGGAGAATGAAGTGTAATAGTATTTGACAGAATTGGAAGATAAAACTTACAAGGCAGGTCACTGATGGGCTGTCACTTGGTCTGGTTTGGTTTGTAAGTCAGGGTTGGTTTTGTTCCTCAGCCACCCACCACTTCTCAGACGCTAATGGAAGCTGCTCTACAGGTGAGGGGAAGTGCCAGGGCACCAGTCACAACCCTTTGGGCAGACAATCCAAACCCAGAGGAACGTGAACATGTCCTAAATCAAATCGGACGATACTGTGGAGCTGGGCAGACAATGCTGTGCGCGTGTGAGAGGCTCCCGCAGGAAGGGAGGGTGGGGTAGCCGTCTAAGGCAAGGTGGGGGGCTCACTCTGTAGAAACAGGCATGCATGTGTGGGAAGGAGCACGTCACGTGAGTTACTGATACAAATGCTGAGATGGCAAAGAAATGTGCTCACTGGCCAGTCTGTTTGTGGGAAAGAGAACTAGGAATGTGGAGTGAAGTCCCCGCTGCGTGTGTTTGTTGGGAGTAAGTGGGGAAGGGACTGGAGGCCAGAACTGGTCTCAGCATCTGACAGTAGAAAAACAGAAGCATTTACGGGGAAACAGTTTGAACCAAACAGTCCTCTGCAGTTCACTCTACACAGACTCCAGAGTCTTCTCCCTCCTTTCTATGTCCTCTACCTTCAGGATTTCTCTTCAAAATTTTTAGGTCCCTTATGGAATTTTAATCATTCTCCTTGGCTAGAGGCACATGTTCGGTAACACAAGGCTTCTTCCTTTCTCTGGGGTGTCTCTGCAGCACTTAAATTAGTGACAGCAGCTTTCTGGATTTATTTGGTTCTTTGCCCTGAAGTTCCCAAGGAGCTCCAAGTATTCTCACACTTTTCCATTTACTCCCACCACTCCCTGTGAAGCAGGAAGGGACCAGAAACCTTCTATAGCTTCTAGATAGAGGTACAGGAGTTTGCTAGTGTCCTCAGGGTAGAAGCTGGCGGCATGGTTGGGAGCAGTGTGTAGGAGAACCAAAGCGTAACTAGGTGGGTGGTTCTGGGGGGTACTTTGGCTCTTCACCTTTCCTTTGGGCTACAGAGTATGAAATTTAGATCTCTTTGTTGTGACAAATTTTAAATTCCTCTCTAACCTGAATATTCTACTTAGTGTCCTTGTCTGGTTTTGGTTCAGCAATTTCCCCTGAATATCAATAGGTTAACAGTTCTTAGAATATGCAGTCAAGATTGTCAAGGTGGAATTTAGGCCACACACGACCAACTTAATACACACTAGCCAGGACACATTAAGAGCTGCATTTCATTTAGGATTTAAAACTCAAGAGAGCGAGGACCCAGCATGATGCTGGTGCCACTAAGGTGTTACTTACTGTGAAAACCTATCAGGCAATTGTCTTTGATAACACCTGTCATTCAATTGTAAAGAAATTTCCTTTCACCTCCAATATTTCCTGGAACCTGAAATGTTACAAAAGAAGGCCTTTGTGAGGCAACTCCAGGCTGAGGCAGGAGACCTGCAGCATAGGAAGCGACAGACCCCCCTGGCAGGAGGTCACTCCTTCCGAGATGCTAGTCAGCCACTCCACCCTGAGCGAGGTCAGGCTGCAGTGACCATGACGTGGGACTGCGCCTTTGGGGGAGGAGGGTGGACAGAGGGAACCGGGAGGACCTGAGGAGACGGGGGGAAGAGGAGGAGCTGAGAGATAGAACTTGAGGCGGAGGAAGGAAGGACACTTGGAGACAACTAAGTGAGTGGCAAAAGGCACACCCAGAAGTCCAGGACCTTGTGCCTGAGGACAGAGCCCAGGGGCATTGCCATCCTGGGGGGATGAGACACATATTTGAACCTCAGGTAAGGAACTGATGGTATGTTGTCCATGATCTCACATGACCTTGATAAGCTAAGCAGTAAGACCTTTTTGTTCTTGATTCTTGTCCCTTCTTTTCCATTGATTTGTTGGTTCATTCGACAAACACTCATGTTCACACTGTGCCCTGCACTGTTCTAGACACTTGGAATAGACACATGACTCTGATGAAGTCTCTGTTCCTGAGGATCTCAGTCAGTGGAGGACACAGGTGTGTAACTACTGCAGTGGCAGGAGACTAAGGCCTGGGACTCCAGGGAAGGCTCCAGGAGAAAGTGACCATCGGGATGCTATTGTTTACAGGAGAGGCACTGTTTTCCAGGCGAAGGAAAAGCATGGGCTGAGAGCCCAGCGTATTTCAGAAGGGGAGAAGTCTGGTGTGGCTGGAGAAGGCACGAGGCCAGGTCAGGAGATGAGGAAGGGTGGGGTCAGACTGGAAAAGACCTTGTATGTCCCTTGGGGGGGGTGGCATGTAGAGGGGGTTTCATCTGGGGCATGACAGGAAGCTAGCAGCAGTATTAATTCAAGGGTGGTACAAGATCAGATTTAATTAGCAGAGGCAAAGAGAATGAAGTCCAGGGTCTCAGGACCAAGGTCTAGAGTCTCCGTGGATAGACCTGCACACTCAAGAGCCACGGATGATGGGACAGTTCAGATCTTGAGTGAGGATTTAGAATGAGACCAGCACCAAGTATGGAAACTGGGAACCTTGCATTTAGGAGAATGTGAAGGTGACTGAAAGCATTGTCAGAGCTTCTAGAGGAGGAATGAAGAGAATGAAGCCACAGATTCAAGGGAACGGTCTCAAAAAGGAAGACGCTCCACTAAGTGAAAATCAATATGGAGGACAAGTCAGAGTGGTAATACACAGACAGTGAAATCTGATCATCTGGATGTGAAGGCAGCAAGAGTGTATGCAGAGTTGAGGTGAGAGAGAAAAGGCAATGGATTCCCAAGTGAACTGGGTTAGGGAAGCCAACTCAGCACAAATGCTTCTGGAAGAAATTTGACCAACAATGTTAGGAGAAAGAGATGGCCGTGGTTTTAAGGAATAGCAAGGATAAAGGAATTGTTTTATATTTGGTTGGCAAAGGAAAGGAGAATAAGGTCATAAACATGCTTTGAGCATTTTGTATCAGCTCTATATTTGTGGCAATACTTACATTTTCTAACTCTGAAAGCACCCCTGAGGTAGGAATTGGTCTCGTTATATAACTGGAGGACGTGAGGCTCAGGGAGGCTGAGTGCTTTGTCCAAGGCTCCAGGAATTTTTAAATGGCAGATGGGAGCTAGGAATTCAGACCTGTGCTTTCCAGTAGGTTACTGTGTGCTTATTTGTGATGATTTGAGGATTAAGGAAAAGAAGGCAGTGAAAATTGAGAGACCTGGGAGAACGAAGACTATAATTTATTATCCAAGCCTGAAAACCTTTGCAAGTGAAAGGCACATCATTAACAATTATGCTGGGATAACAGGAGCAAAGCGGAGTGCCCAGGCACAGCAGGCTGGCTGGTCCCTCAACTGGGACACGGGGTTAGGCTGCCCCAACAACCGCCGTTGCTCCCAAGCACTGCTGCAAATGAATATAGCCATTTTCAGAGAGGATATACTAGTTTCATATATAACATACATCTGGAGCTTCACAACAGCTAGGGCAGGCTTTATTTTTATGTCCACTTCATGATAAACACTGAGGATTAGTGACTTGCCTAGAGACCAGAGATGGTAAAGAGCAAAGGAGAGACCTGAAAAGCAAAGCTTCTGACTCCATGAGGACTTGTTACCCTAATGCAACAATGCATTTTTCTACCAGTGTCTACTGCTCTTTACAAAGAGAGCATCCATTAAATATAAAAGAAAGCAAGGCTTAAAAAAAGACAGGATGATTTTTAATTTAAAAAATCATCTACAGCTGAATATTTTAGAGTCCTGATAGCTACTTTCATAGGAAAGAGCTGAAAGGTTGTCACACTGAAAAACCACCTGGCCCCTCAGTGCCTGTGTGTTTCGCCATGTTGAGGGCATTCCCAGCCTGGGCCAGGAGTCTCCCCAGAGGCCAGTGGGTGTGCCCTTCTGCAGGCTTGGTCCCAGTCACTACTGCTCATTGGGAGTTCACAAGAAAGGATGCGTTAAAGACATGGTCTCACGTGTTTGTACTGTTGTTCTCATGGACCTCCCTAACAAACAAAGGTGTAACATTCCACCTCCCAAACTCCCCCATACCAGGCACCAAAGCACAGAAGGCTTTTATCAGGCCAGGCATCCTGAGGGTTGATCAGAAATTACTTGTTCGTTTGTTTTTAATAATACCTAGGGGTCTGTGGTCTCCTAGAGAATATAATTTTTATGTGATGATAGAAAA